GAGGAGAAAAGGAAAGAGAAGAAGGAGCTTCTGCATAGACAAAGTTCTATATGGGTTGATGAATTAGAATTGGAGAAGAAGACACTTGAGGCCATTGTTGATACTACTACTCTTTGAATGAGTTCTCTTCCAAAGCTGATTGCACGAGATAGGATTGTCGGTGCTAGGATATTTTTATCTTAGTCTTGGCCTGCCTCGTTCGGAAATTTTCAAATTCAAGTTATTTGACTGTTGTTTACAGATGTAACCTGATTAATATCTGATAGATTGGAGGTGAATGATGGTTCCTTGAAATAAAGTGATTGCTTACTTTAATTTAAGCATACTGATTATCATAGTCAATTTTTGTTTTTGGAGGGATAATCAACTCTGCGAATATGGATTTAAAATTTGAACCTGGTATAGGTATCAATTTCCTGGAAATTGAGAATTTGTCCAGGTGGAAACAGAAAAATTGCGATGTACTTGGTGATAATTTGTTGAAATATTGTACGCATTTTCTTGTTGGCAATATTTTTATTGGAATTTGCTGTTATGGTCCTGGTTCACATTATGGAACCAATCCAAATCAAACTACTTATACCCTAATGGAACAAGTACACTGTCAATTACTAGAGTAAAATTTTAGACAAATTATTTTTGGAGTCTCCAACTTATGTAAAACTTGGTGAGTAGGTATTCAGCTTTTTAATTTTGTACCGAGTGCATTTATTGGACAGTTTTCATCAATTTAACATTAGAAGGTCACATTGGCAAACCAAGCGAACAAAAATCATCCATACTTTTGTGATATACTTCACATGTTAATACTTTACTTCCGTGATACAATAATCTTCAAGATTGACGGTGTACAAGGGGTGGTTTGAATTCTCTCAATCTTCACTGTGCGAGTCAAAGAAGCCGATCACACATTCTCACATCTCATCCATGTATCGAGTTGGAAATAAGTCTTCATTTTTCCAATAATGTTTGTAGGGGAGTTCTACCACTAACTGAGGAATGTTTTATTTTGCATGGTTGGAGTCCCCATATGTTAAAATAGTTTCATTTTTAGCTTCACAAAAATGAATGCTTCTGGCATGTAAAGCCTGGATGTCTTCCAACAATGTAGTACAGCACAAAAAAAGGTTATGGTACAGATTTTTTTGTGCAGATAGATTTACAAGTTTTCAGAAGATGGAATTTAATTGGCAGGTTTAACTTTATTTTTTGGCCAAAATTCAATGAAATCTTGCCAACTGACATTCTCTAAACCAGTTTGTAAAAACAGTTTGTGCATGTAGCATTTCTCAGTGTAACAACTTATTAGCAGCTTGTTTGGGAGTGATTTTTTTCTCCAAAAAATTAATTTTTTTACTGTTATTTCACTATTCTAGTCATCACATTTGACTTCTTCTCTCACAGGTGGACCCTACTTTTCTTCTAACGGTCAAAAAATTAATTCTCAAAATCACTTTCAAACAGGCTTCAGATAAGGAAAGGGGAAATCATAAATGCATACCTAATTGCATTTGTGCAAAAGATGAAACTAAATAAGTTACCCTCACATCAAACCATGAAACAATCTTTCTCATTCATTTCATGATAGCAAAACCAATCCATGTGAAAAAGAATTAAATAGAAAATACAAAGTTCATTTAATCGCCCATTTAAGCATGGGAATATGGTACGTTTGAAAAACTACAGCAAAACCAAAATGAATCCCAGATATCATTTACATTGCGTTCTTCAAATGGGGAAAAAAAATGAACTGTAACCACTTGCCTTTGCTATGAAACAGAAAACAAACACCTGTGACAATCCATTTTGTTGAGCACTGTGTTCTACTGGCTCTTTGGTTTTTGAATCTTCACGTAGGGAAAAAATCCCATAAAGTGCTTAATTTTGGGATTCCATTCCCGTTGTTGAGCACGACAGTACATCAGGAATGCATTAGCAAAGTACGAATTAAAACCCATAAGAACATGCCACAGTGCATGACCCTGCGGAATGAAGTACCAGTGTGATGTTTTCTTGCAGAACAAACGGTCAACTAACCAGCAGAAACTCCCAAACAACAGAGTGGCGACGTACATCTTTGCAAGCCGCTTAGCTGATTTATCTTCTGTGTGAATGTAATATTTATACATCCGAGGAATGCAAAGAAGACAAAGCAGCGCATAGTGCACCTTGAAACCAATATCAAAACGCAGCTGTGAATGTGCTATGGCAAATACTGCACCATAAAGGAACAAAAAGGTTGGCATTGTACTTCGATAATGCCAGTCCGGTGAGTAGAGGATGTAAATATAAAGGAGCATTTCCCACACCATAGGTGTTTCGTCACCTTGCTGTTGCCTGAAAATAAATTCAGAATTTTTCACAAATAAATTATATCTAGAGAACATTATTTAACCCGGGTTGAGAGCGATTAAAATCAGATTTTTAGTAAATTTTGATAAAGTTGATGAAATGTGGGGTTAAAAAGTTGTGGATTCCATGAAATACATAGTTATATTAATTTTTAACTTCCACTAAGATTAAAATCTAGATTTTAATTCCCACCGAACAAGTGCTTAATTCAAACAGCCAACCACACTAAATTGAAGCAGTGTTAGACCAACATTTCACCACTCAGGCCATCCTAAAGGACCCCTTTTCTTTAGTGATTATTTTTATTTTATATCTTTTTAATAATAGGAAACACCAACGATAGATTTTTACTTCTCATCTAGTTACATATGGAACCAACATGTATCAATGAACAAAGATGACCTTAAAACAAAGATAATTCTACAGCAGGAAAATGAAAATCTTTTCTTCTACTTCGGGCTACTAAATAAGCAGAAACCCATTCCAATGCATCATTCCCAAGAGCAAAGACATGAGATACTTTATGTTATCAATTTACCTTGTCCCAAATAAGAAAAAATTGGCATTAGTTCAACATAAGTTCTAGTGAGAATTTTCAGCAATAAAATGCTTTTGGGTTCCATGGAATGGTGCTCCGCTATGGTGTCTCTATCTCTATATACTTAAACGGTTTCAAGACGTTATTGAAGCGGCGTCCTTGTCTTTGTATTTGTGTTATTTTACTACTAAATTTTTGGAGTTTGTTCATTCTTTGAAAGCTCAAACACTTTAAAATGGTACACACCTGGTACCACATTCGGCAAAATTTTTCTAATATTCATAATGTAAAAAAAGCCATCAACCCCTCCATACAGCTTACAACCTTACACATCCATTTCCATATGTAAACCACATTGACAAGATAATAAAAGAATGAAAAAATAAAAAAATAAGAACTTACAGCCGCTGCAAGGTGGCATGATATAGCATGCTGCCAATGGCTAGAATCATATTTGATATGTGAAGGACGCTAAACCTTTTCTCAAAACGTTGTCTCAAGGAATTCACGAGACCAATTAAAGCCAATATAATGCACGGGACATTAGAGATGGTATTGAAAAATTCAGCAATATAGGAAGAATGAACATAATTTGGCTCACACCACTCATGTGTAGATGTGACAGGACCCCAAAAGCTTGATAATCCATCTTCCATTCTTCAATGTATAGAACGCAAATGTAATTGTTCTACGGAAGAACTTATCAAGATATGCTGATTTCAGATCCTGCAAGAGATGCAGAACTAAGAGCATATGTGAATATATGCACGTTAACTATCAATGTAATTTAAGTCTACTATCATCATCCTACAGCAATTCAAAGAAAAGAAATTTGAAATCATTTTTAGATGCTGACAGGTTTTTTGTTTGCCTCAAGATGAGGTGGGCCTCAATTGGGATTTTTTAAATCATGAGCTAGACACAATGAGACATCAGGCTTCCAGACAGCGGGTAGAAACAAAACAATGCTTTTGCACAAAAGAATGAAAATACAATGCATTGATCATGAATACGTCCAAGATATCAGCAAACACAATTTGGTTAAATTGGATAATTTGGATTATATATGCACATGCCACTGAAATTAGAAATTTATCTCAATTCTCCACAAAGATAGGCAAGAACTCAATGGTATGATGCAGATACAACACAAAACCATCATTTTTTTCTTTTAAATTTATGGACCAATTAAGCCGGTACTCGTCAAACGCATCAAATAGAAACAAAAGATCCAAAACCAACATTTAAATCCTCCACTCGATTTCCTTGCCATAAGTTAATGTCTCCTTCCTGTTGTCAAGGTCATCTATCTTTACAACTAATTCTGGTCTCAAGACAAGTTGGCATATCTAATGCTCAACTTGCACAAAAAGGACATTCACATGTTTTCAATGCGTGGAAAATAGCATTTAATGGCACACATTAGTTGTGTTGACTTCCGCATGGATGGACAGAGGATAATCTGTTGCTGAACACTCGTAACGAATCATATAGGAACACAAAAATATTCAAAACAGATCATTTTCAAGAAATTTATGACATAAGATTGAAAAACCGTCTCTTTACTGCAGTAACCATAAACAATCGATGCATTGTGATATTGAATAGTTACCATATGAACATATCAAATCCCTATTATATTTCCTTTCCAGTGCAATAACCAGGAATTTCTATAGAAACAATAATAACGAATATTTTTAAGCTTTCTTGCCTAAATATAAATTACGTCCAAAGAAATTTAACTCTTTCCAGCAGACTATCACATGTTGAAAGTGTGTGCGTGCGTGCAAGTGCGTGTACGCCAGAAGTCAACAAAGCCCTCAAAAGCGCACATCATATATACTCCATCAAAGCATTCCTATCATCTATATTGGCTTCAAATAAGTTAGGGAAAAATCCTCACATCCTTTATCTTAAAATCATCATACAAATTAAATAAATAACTCTTATATCCACCGCTATTGTAGAAAAGCTTTTACAGAAGCACCTCTAGTGTAATGTAAAAATCTAAAACAAGAACATTTATTATCCTTGATGTAAAATGTTTCCATTTCAAATACTCCAGGAAACAGCATGGTTTCCGAATATTTCAAAATAATTAAATCTCCTAATCACTTAAAAAGACCAACTATTGGTCAAAAAATGGAAACCCTGTTGTGGTGCTAAGCCGTTGAACGATTCCCAAAAACCAATAAAGAAAAAGAAACCCTAAAATGGCACTTGATATTTAAATTCAATGCTCATTAATTAGGAAAAATAACACAACAAGCATCAGCCACAGATTAATTTCAGTATTACTCCCAACAAACAACCAGTAGCCAAATAGCGCGCAGAAATGGACAAGTAATTAACACATTAACGTACATTAAGAAAAACAATAATACACACACATATTGACAACACGCAGCCAATACCTTCCAAATTCAGATTATCGCCAAATCCACGCACATGAAGCTTTCAATTTCCACACATAATTTTTTATGTGAAAATGGGAAAATGTGAATTTCAATAGGGTTTGAAACGCTTCTTTGAATCGGATTCTTTACAGCCGGTTGAAAGAATCTGACGGTTTAGTTCTCACGTGTGTGATGGGTTCACGTGTAAGAAATAATATCCGTTGGGATGGATAACATATATATTTTCGAATCAGGATGGAGTAATATAATTTAAATATTTAACATTTTTTAATCCAATTAATATCATTTTTTTATCGTTATTTTACTATTCTAGTCGTCATTTTTTATCTCTCACAGGTAAAATTCACTTTATCTCTAACGGTCAAAAAATCAATTAACAAAATTCCTATCAAACAAGTACTTAATATTATTTTTGGGAGAATATTTTCATAATAATAATTTCCTATGTAGTCAAAAAATTTACATTTGAAAATATGTAATTAAAAATAAGTTTGCAGAAAAATTATGCTTAAATAAAGGTCAAATGGTCTCATCTTCCCTTTAGTGCATCTATAATTATTAAACTCTGATAGAACTGGTTAGGTCGGAAAACCACTTATTCAATCTCTTAACCAGTTCGATCTTAAAGTTTCAATTGAATAAGATAAGTCAATGATCTTTTTTTATTATTACTGTTATTTTGAAAATTGATTAGACACTATTTGATCAATTTTAAGCCCTGTTTATTTCTCATTATTTGCTCATTAGAATGAAAAAGTATGACCATTATCCATCACATCAAGTCACCATTTTTTATTTTTTATTTCTTGTGTAGGACTCATAATGACTATATTTTTCATTCTCACTTTTACATTAATATGTGCCAAACGAGGCCTAAAAATAAGTTCTTGAAATTAGGATGGAGGTTTGATCATCACAGGGGAGATTGATGGGGTAGGTATTCATCATCAAAGTCCTATTTCCCGTTTCTAAATTACAGATATCATTTTCTTTTCAAATGGACCACTGAGAACTCTTCATTCGCAACTAGTTATACAATAGGTAATTTACTGTACATTTTGTAGAGCTTTTGTAAATCATGAGCAGATAGATAAAAGTTATGTATTACGAAATTGAAAATGTCCTCGAAAACATCACTAGACTAGTTTGTTTTATTTAGGTTACAATATTTGAATGGTAAGACTAAAATATTTCAAGTCGTTACTAGGCTTTATCGCGGTTGGATTTTGATCGATTTAGACACCAACCTAAAATCAAAATCCAATTGGTTAGTTTGGTGAATTTCAATCCAAATCAATCCACTCTAACTCTTAAACCAAACTCCGGTTCGATTCGGTTAGTCAGTTTGGACTTTTAGTCCAAATTGATTTTCTTTTAAAAAACAAATTGTTAGGATTGTGGGTTCACATAGATTACAAAAATTAAAATAACTACATAATTTTATATTACAATAATTATTGATTAATAAATAAAATCAGGTTAATAGAGACAGATCAACAAAAAGCTTAAGAATTTGTTGCTTTTTATATATTATATTATGTAGCTGACTGCTTGAATAGAAAAAACTGGTTAAATATAATATAATAAGCTTATAAAAAGAAATTTTCAGTACTATTAATTATTGATAACATCATAGATTGAAAGGAATTGAGATATAGTTATGAGATTATGGTTCATTTTTTTATTCTTTTTTTCCTAAAAAAAGAACAAAAATGGTAAACATGTAAGTGGATTCGATCAGTTTGGTTAACCAGCGATGGCTAAAACGACCCATCATGATTTTATTTAAAAAAATCAAACCAAACCAATTATCTTTATCAAACCGACCCGAGCCAGTTCAATTTGATTGATTTAATGGATTTTTCGATTTTTTTATCCAAACCTAATTGTTACATGGAGTGTTTAGATGAAGTTTGGTTGATCATGTGCTCAAATATACATAATATATCGACAAAAATAAGAGGCTGTTTAATGGGGATTAAAATTAATTTTTTTGGTAGATTGTAATAGAAGTTTTTGAAATGTGTGATTGAAAAGTTGTGGGACTCATGAAAGATGTGATTAATATTGATTGTTTGACTTTGACTTCGACTTCGACTTCGATTTCAATTAAAAATTTCATAACCAAACATGGACTAATATTTAACAAGTTTATAAGCTTGAAAATGTAACCAAAAAACATGATAAGTGAGAAGAATCTTGATTGATAAAATATTTTAAGTCAGTACTTGGAGTGTCTAGATGAAATTCAGTCGATCAAAGTCCTTGGAAAGAATATTATGATATTTTTTGAATAATATAGAAACGAAATATCATTTCGTTCAAATTTTATTAGATATCTACACATGAGAATTTTAATGAACTTAATAACTAAAAATTTATGATTTAGATAAAATTACTTCAAAAATTCATTGTTACATAATATTTTATTAAGAATTTGAAATATGGAGTATTGATTTCCAGCCAAATTTTTCTTACATTATTTACAATAAATCGGAATATACATTCAGAAATTAAAACTATTTTACTATTTAGAAACAAAACTTCTGTGTTTTAATATTTACATTATTTAAAATTGTTACAAAAATTTATTTTTGATGGAATATCCCTTAGATAAGTAGCATATTCTTCGCCATCTTGGACAACAAATCAAGTAATTTTTATTTTTCGCAGAACATTAATTGCTTAACAAATGAATAGAAAAGAAGGCAGATCTCAAGAATATTTATACAGCTTGTTGACCACCAAAAATGGCTCATCCACGTGGTCAACTTATAGCTACTCCACGTATTCCTCCCTGCGAAATGAACAAACTGTCAGGCGCACACGGTCGGAACCGACGGGGGTGGTGGCGGCCGTATACACTCCGATGGTCAAGTCAGGTTTGGGTGGTCGGAACAGTGCCCAGGGGCTACACAAATCAATCAATAAAGGGGGAGGAGAATATATAAACTTGTTATGGAATGCTATGTATTGAGAGTTTCATTCTTTTTTCTCTTTTTTCTTGCCTCTTGCCAAACCTTGGGTATTTATAGGTGGTATGAATCGCTGGATGTGGAACGCGTGTGTACATCTGACGGTATGAAGCGTCTGCTCATAGGCGTCAATCAGCCACGCTTGTAGAGTGGGCGGACAGTTTGTTTCCCCCGAGTTGAATTGACATAAAGTTGATAAATCATATCAAATAGCCTCATGGAGACGTCAAATCAATTTAAGCCTTAGGTGCAGGACAAATCTTAAATTGATGGCGGATCTTCTAACCGGGGTCCACTTGATCTCGACCTCGGAGGTGAGATGCTTCGGCAGATCAGTAGTAGGAATCGATATATCACTTCGGAGAAGCTTCGGGAGGGTCGTTTTCAGGTCGGAGTAAATGGTGCTGCATAGGGTCTACTTGATCTCGACCTCGGGTGGTGAGATGGCACTTTGGTATCGAGGCGCGAATAATCGAGGCGTAACAGTGGTCCCCCAAATCCGGGAATGAATATTTATATTATGCATGGATTTGTTTTCCTGACCGGGCCGCGAGTAATGGGACCTTTTGGGGATCGATTCGTCGCAGCAGCTGAGGTTAGGATAATAGGCAGATGCGGGGCATTCGCGTCAGGCGCGTCCCAGCTTTGTGAAGTTGGAGAAAAAGCTCATCTGCCGTCGATGCGCTGACAGAACAGGTCGACGCGTGGGGATAGTTGAAACTTTGTAAAGCATGGGAGGAAATGCAGCGTCTGAGGCGATGACCCAATGGGGCGTTCGCGTCAGGTGCGTCCAAGCTTTGTAAAGTTGGAGGAGGAACTCATCTCGCATCGATGCGTTGACGGAAAAAGGTCGACGCGTGGGGAGATGGCTGAAACTTTGTAAAGCATGGGAGGAAATGCAGCGTCCAAGGCGATGACCCAATGGGACGTTCGCGTTAGGTGCGTCAAAGCTTTGTAAAGTTGGAGGAGGAACTCATCTCTCACCGATGCGTTGACGGAAAAAGGTCGATGCGTGGGGAAATGGTTGAAACTTTGTAAAGCATGGGAGGAAATGCAGCGTCCGAGGCGATGAGCCAATGGGGCGTTCGCGTCAGGTGCGTCCAAACTTTGTAAAGTTGGAGGAGGAACTCATCTCGCACCGATGCGTTGACGGAAAAAGGTCGACGCGTGGGGAGATGGCTGAAACTTTGTAAAGTATGGGAGGAAACGCAGCGTCCGAGGCGATGAGCCAATGGGGTGTTCGCGTCAGGTGCGTCCAAGCTTTGTAAAGTTGGAGGAGGAGCTCATCCGAGGCGACCCAAACGTCCAATGATTTGACAACTGTTGCGTGTTTCCAAGGTGACAGTTGGGTGCCATGCCCATTCTCCTAAAAGGTTGCTGCGGCTAGCAATTATTATTGACGGCTGGTTGTAACCGAAGTGACGCGTTTCAATTTAGCGTGAAGGTCACAGCGACATCTTGGGCCTAGATCAAATCTGGCGTTTCATTTCAACGGCCCGGATTGAGGATGCGACGAACGGCTTAGATTGATCGCATTTGAATTCAACGGTGGAGATTGGACTTGTTTTTCCTATAAAAGGAGGACTCTGGGGTTTTCTCAGACTTTCTACCTTTGCAAGACTAAAATCACAATTTGCTCTCAAATTTCCGGCGATTTTCGACGTTTTGCAAGCAACTCTGGCGAGAAAGAACGATACTTCCGGCGATCCTACACCATTTTCGGCTAGGAAAAACTTCCAAACCCGTAAGCTTCAGCACCCATTTGGACTTTCAAAAATTTCTTAACAAATGGCCTCGGAAGGGAGTTTTGGTTTGGGGAGGGGCTTAGAAATAGTGAGGGTGGACGAGCCCATTGTGGCGACCTCCTCAGAAATAGTTGGGGCAATAATGGGGAGGGGGAGAACATATGGAAATGACCGGATAGCCCCCCAGATACTTTTGTGCATTTGGGGGGCGTCGAACTACCCATCAAAATTAAGGGAGGCCGACCTGGGTAGACTTAGGACAGAATATAAGATCCCAAACAGTGTAGACTTGATCCTCCCCGGCCCGGAAGAGAGAGCCTGTTACCCAAAGCCGGGCTGTGTGGCCATTAGTGAGGCGATCCTTAGGGCCGGACTTAGGCTGCCTATCCACCCATTCTTTAGGTTGGTGCTTAGGTCTTATGGGCTAGCCCCGACACAGCTCAATCCAAACTCCTG